CTTTTCTGATTGGAAATAATCTATTAATGTCCTCCTCCCACTTTGCATACAAATGTCTCATTCGATTTCATTATTATTTTGGGAACATCGTGTGTGCAAAATGAGTGTGGTTACAACCTTTCTTTAATGGGGATCTCTAGCAGGGGAAACCCCAAGCTATTTCTGATGGCTGAGCCAAAAGGACCCCAGGATTCCCAAAATTCCCAAGAAAACTATGGTATATGTATATATGTTCTCTGCTCCCCTTCATTTTTTTTTTTACATTCTACAGCAGCACAGTTGAGCAATTTGGATATATTAAGGATTAATGCCCAAAGAAATCACAGAGTTCAGGGAAAATTTAAAATACAAATAAACAAAGTTTAAAGAGTTATATGCAAAAGCAGAACTGGATAACCGTTGCTTCATGACAAGAAGCAATGCTGGAAGTGGGACATTTTTGTTCATCTTTTTGAATGGTAAAGTGTCTATAATAACATCATTTCACAACGGTGTGAAATGAGAAAGAGAAAGAGTAAACAATGTGGTATAAACAAGGAGGAGTGAGTGGCATTGTCATATTTCAAGTGTAAGAAAACAAACTTGAGAACTAACACCACTGAAGTGAAAATGCAATGTTGGTGCAAATTTGCCATTTCGCTACATTTCCAAGTACAGGAAACACACTTTTCAAGCAAAAGAGCCTAGAACAACTCTCTGGTGTGATAGACACCTTATCAGTCTTTTTTGGTCAAAATAGTAACAATATGATAGTACGCTCACTCTCAAATCCTTTACAAAGGGTGTGTTGACACTCTAAAATTAATGCAGTTTGACACCAATTTAACAGAATTGGCTCAATACTATGGAATCATGGCAGCTGCAGTTTCACAAGCTCTTTAGCTTTCCCTGCCCAAAAGTGCTGGTGCCTCAACAAAATTCAACTCCATGATTCCATAGCACTGAGCTATGGCAGTTAAAGTGGTATCAAACTGCATTAATTCTATAGTGTAAGTGTACTCTGAAGCATGCTGGACACCATAGGTGTTCTGCTCCACAGCTATCTTTAGGTGGGGCTGCGGTACCACAGTGATTAAAGCTGCCAGCTGCAGGTAAGGCTGCTGACCGGAGGGTCAACAATTCAAAAGCATGAGTTGGGGTGAGCTCCCAATTGTCAGTCCTGGCTTCTGTCAACTTGGTAGTTCGCAAGCATGCAATGCGAGTAGATCAGTAAGTACCACCTCAGCGGGAAGGTAAAAGGGTGCCCCACATGCTGGCAAAAACATTGGAGATGTCTACAGACAGCAAGGCTCTGGCATGGAAAATGGAAGTTGAGCATCACCTCCAGACGTCAGAGATAGAAAAGAGGGGAAGGCCTTTACCTTATCTGAGTATTGTATGTCGTTGTTCATGTAAAAAGGCATTGAACATTTGCCTTTATGTGTACTATAATCCGCTCCAAGTCCCTCAACGGAGATAAAGCGGAATATAAATAAAGATTATTATTACTACTACTATCATCATCATCATCATAATCATCATCATCTTTGGGTTATCTACACTCCTACTGCACTATAACATGCAGGGTTCAAGCTATTTTGCTGTAAGAAAAAATAATACTGCTACTATAATTAGCATGAATTTCCCCATGTAAGCCACCCGAGTCCCTTCGGGGAGATAGTGGTGGGATATAAGATTAACGTTGTTGTTGTTGTTATTTTCAATATGTTATAAGGTTTGGCTTTCTTTTTTGTAATATAATAAAACTAGTTTTAAAAGCAGGCTTTACACTACTTTCAAATGTTCATTAACTTGAACTATTAAATTTTCAGTTCAGACAAACGAGAAGCAATATGCTACATTGGGTTGCTGTGAGTTTTCCGGGCTGTATGGCCATGTTCCAGAAGCATTCTCTCTTGACATTTCACCTGCATCTATGGCAGGCATCCTCAGATGTTGTGAGGTCTGTTGGAAACTAGGAAAATTGGTTTATATATCTGTGGAATGTCCAGAGTGGGAGAAAGAACTCTTGTCTGTTGGAGGGAGTTGTGAATGTTTCAATTGGCCACCTTGATTAGCATCTTGATTAAATGTCCCACCCTGGATATTCCATATATATATATAAACCCCATTTTCCTAGTTTTCATCAGACCTCACAACCTCTGAGGATGCCTGCCATAGATGCAGGCAAAATGTCAGGACAGAATGCTTCTGGAACATGGCCATACAGCCTGAAAAACTTACAGCAACCCAGTGATTCCGGCCATGAAATCCTTCAACAATACAATATGCTACATATCACATAGCACCTAGATGAGTAATATTTTAACACCATATGAAACCATATAAATATTTTAAAATGCTCTCATTCAACATGCTGCAGATAAAGAATGTATGACACCTGCATGTGCCAATTTTATGCAGGGTACAATATTACCTACAAAACCATTTGCAGTATTTACCCTTCAGTTTCACAAGAGGGCAGGCTCATCTAAGAAGAAACTTGAATTCTGAAGAAGATTCCGATCCCTTGTGGCTCCACACAGAAAGAGGCAGAAAAGGAGGAAGAAGCTACAGCTACAGAAATTTGTTTTCTAAATAAATCAATCAATATGTGTGTGTGTATGTATGCCAACTTCATTCTTCATATGATCCAGGGTCTCTTTGTCTAGAGTTCTGTTAAGACTGTATACATCTGTTTTCACATTCCTCTTTATGTAATGTCTTATTTCTGTTGGGGTTTTTTTTCAACATTAAAAAAACCATTAGCCCTCCACTTCTTGAAGAACATTGACAGTTACATTTGAAAATGATAATTATGATGTTAATAATAATAATAATAATAATAATAATAATAATAATAATAATAACAGCACTACAGTGGTCACTCACTTATCACGGGTGTTACATTCCTGGACCACCCGTAATAAGTGAAATTCCACGATGTAGGGATGCCCCCTCTCCTTCCCCCCTTGTCCACCTTACCATCCTCCTCCTCTTCATTGCCTAGGCCTCTTGCCGTGACGCCACATGGGACCCAAGTGGCAGCAGGAGGCCCCAGGTGGTGAAGAGGAGGAGGAAGAAGATGGTAAGGAGGGCAAAATTATTATTATTATTATTTTAAAAATACAAAACAGCAAGTCTGTGATAAGCAGACCATGAAGGAGCAAGGGACCACTGTATATTTATTCTGCCATATCTCCCCGAGGGTACTCAGGGCGGATTCCAGCATATACAGATACAAAGCAAAAATTCAATGCCTCAAAACAATGAAACACAAATACATGGATAAAGGTAAAGGCTTCCCCTTCAGGCTCTGAGGATGGTGCTCATCTGAGGGTAAAGGCTCAGAGGGTGGTGCACATCTCCATTTCTAAGCCAAAGAGCATGTGTTGTCTGTAGACTGCTCCTAGGTCATGTGGCTGGCATGACTGCATGGAGTGCTGTTTACCTTCCCGCCGAGGCGGTACCTATTGATCTACTCACATTTGCATGTTTTCAAATTGCTAGATTGGCAGAAGCTGGGGCTAACAATGGGAGCTCACCCTGTCCTGTGGATGTGAACCACCAACCTGGTCAGCAAGTTGAGTCCCCTTCGGGGTGAGAAGGGCGGGGTAGAAGAAACCGAAATAAATAAATAAATAAATAAGTTCAGCAACTAAACAGTTTAACCATTGCGCCACCGCAGGATAGTAGGATAGCTTTTACTTTTCTGTTTAATTACTCTTATCAAGCTTTCAGAAAGCTGTCCATTTGTGCAGTACTGGTATTCTGGCCCCTTCCTTGGTTCAAATGATATGATGGGATGAAATGCATGTATCCAACAATTCTCTCCACTGTCCCCTTCTCTTGCTCCTGGCTTTTCAATGAGTGGATATTGTAGAAACACAATACACACATAATCACCACAATCCTGAACCAATCAGCTCTGGTCTCAGTTAGAAATATGTGGAAGTTGGTGTTTAGTCCTTGAGGCCACCTTATGTGCAATCTTTCTTGCCTCCCATGTTGATCAACCTGAAATTTGGCTCCCTGCCTGGAAAGACAGAGTGCAGCAATTCTCTAAAAATCCTGCTGATGCCTAAAGTCTTGGAAGCCTACTTCAATGTATTTGGAAGGGGTTTCACTCACTTCCCCATCTTTCTATTTTATTTGCAGCCTGAAATCCCTTTGCAAAATCCAACATGCAGCACAGTCTTGCAGTATTTAATTTTAATAAAGTGTTTGATGTGTTCACCTTTTCTCCATACAATATACCAAATTCAGCACTGCATATTATATTCATTGATTTACCACAATTCATAACTTCAGGGAAACTGAGCCTAATAAGTCTAATTTATGTTTACTAGGGGTGGGGGTGGGTGGGCAACATTTGATGTTACTACTGATTGGAACAAAAAAATTCCTGTGCATTTTCCTGTTTCTTGTTCCTGTGCATGAAAACTACCCTAGTCTCAATATCTAAAATCTAGAGCCAGAATTTGATCAGTCGAAATTTATGTTTTGAATATATCGGGCACCTTTATAGAAAGAAACTGCTTATTCCAACTAAAAGTTGTTCCTGAAATGGATCCCACACATCATATCTAACAGCCAATGAAGATCTATGAATTAGCCAAGATGGGCAAATTCACTATGCTAATTTTTGAAGAACCACATAATCTGGAAACACAAGCTTTCTAACCTCTTTCACTACCATCTCTCCAGTTAGCTGTTTACCATTGACAAATGCTGTACTGGAAATGATGGATATGTTGTACTGATATTGTATATAATTTGCTGTTTACATTGCAAGATGAGGTCTCCAACTCCATTTTAGGGGAGTGAGAACATAGAAGGAACAAGGGCTTGGATGAGATAGCAAAGAAAACACTGATGAAATGATCTCCCAGACCAGTGTTTGCTTTTCTCATTGGGAAAAGAAACAGCAATGATTGCCAATACATGGAAAAACACATAGCCCAGAACACTGTGCACCGAAGTCAGAGAGCAGAGGGGACAGCTAATGTATAACTTGGGTTTGGCAATCAAGGGGAAACAAATAAGTAGGAATCCAAATTTTCTTTTGGGATCAGTTCCTGAGCACATGAAACAAGGCAAGATCCTCTTCCCAAAAGATTAAGTCTCTGAGAGGTGAGTGACCGTTTTCTACATGGATTTATTTTGTATCTTCAGCATCTAGACACAAAGTTAATTAGCTAGCTAGCTTGGAAATGAAAAATGTAATGAAATGTGAAGTTACTTTTGTGCAATGTGCTAATCGTCAACATTTACAGTTACAATCATCTGTACAATCCACATTTTGCAAAAGTCACAATACGAAGTGTGGTAGGCTTTATTTCAGTGGAAGGAACTGACAAAACAACATTTGGGTATTCCTTGACTAAGAAAATCCTATGAAGTTCATGGAGTGGCTGTAAGTTGGCAGGTGACTTGACAACACACACATACATGAAAAAAATATCAACTCTATCCAAGGATTCCCCTAGTTTTGTTCTAATGGTGCTTGGGTTGCATCATTTGTGAATATATGCGAGGAGGAGGTAATTAAACAAGAATAATAATCTGGACTCAGATTATTATTCTTGTTTAATTTGAAAGGATCATAAACACTTTCTGTGAAATTATTAAGCCCAATGCAGAGAAGGTGGAATGGGTGTACTAACGGGGAAGCAGGATCAACCTGAATCTTTGGCAAGTAATTGTTTCAAAATGGAATGGGAAAGGCTGTACAAACATCAACTGGTCTGAACTGGTTTTGCCCTGGTGCACAATATGTTTTCTATCCTGTTAAATGTAATATGTATATGTCATTATGATATTGTTAGTTTAGTTTGTGATTTTTTAAATTTTTTGATGTTATGTATTATGTATTTATTCTTGCTTGATTTTATATTTATTTGTTGTACGCCACGCCAAGTCCTTTCGGAAAAGGGGCGGGATATAAATAAAGATGATGATATGATGATGATGATGATGATGATTATTATTATTATTATTATTATTATTATTACAAAGATTAAGAGTGCAGTTCTACACTTGCTTAACTCAGTTCAGAATGCTCCATTGAGTTCAATGTTCGTGTAATGCAGTTTTTGCATCAGTCACCCTCCCAAACTCAGTACTGTGCACTATTCAGACTATTGAAGGTTGCTAGATATTCACTGTGTATTGTATTCTGTGGTTGTTTTATATTGTTTGAAATGTTTTTATGAATTTTGTTGTTATATCTTAACTATGTTGAATCTCGGGCTTGTTCCCATGTAAGCTGCCTTTGTATCTCACCTCCATCTCCCTTTGGGGAGATGGAGATGGAATACAAAAATAAAGTTGTTGTTGTTGTTGTTGTTGTTGTTGTTGTTGTTGTTGTTGTTGTTATTATTATTATTATTATTATTATTATTATTATTATTATAAACACAACAAGATGAGTCCACAGCAGGCACTCTGCTGGCTGTTGCATTGAATCACATATCGGACACTTCCCAAGTGTCTAGGACTGTGTGATGTATCAGCGAATAATGCATGCAGATCCCAGTAAGGTAGCCTTTTGCAGCTGGCAGATGGTAATTTTGTCAGTGCCGATAGTGTTTAAGTGCAGGCCAAGGTCTTTAGGCAGTGCACCCGGTGTGCTGATCACCACTGGGACCACTTTTACTAGTTTGTGCCAGAGTCTTTGCAGTTCGATCTTTAAATTCTCATATCCTATTAGCTTTTCCAGTTGTTTCTCTTCAATTCTGCTATCATCTGGGATTGCAACATCGACAATCCATACTTTGTATTATTATTATTATTATTATTATTATTATTATTATTATTATTATTATTATCATGGGTGGGTAGGGGTGATAGATAAAACTGACAGCACAGTTTTGGCTCTTTTAACAGACTCCTTTTCTTGCTGTGTTGCTTTTCTGGAACAGTGAATTCAGGCAAGTGAACATCATATGCTCCTGTCTGTTTGACTGTTGCCACTTTCGTTAATATAGTTACATCATGCCACCTGAAAACATAGGCTCCTCTAAGTGTATATGCTCTTTTTCATCAAGCCTGATGTAATGGTTTGGTAAACTGAAATATTTACTTACACAGCTCCTTCCCAGTGGATACACAGATATCTGGTCAGGAAACCATGTGCATTAGATTGCCACATGCTTTAAAATCCAGCACTATCCAGAGTGATTGGAAAATCAACATGAACAGGCCTTTCCCTAGAGATGTAGCAAGTATGTAGCACACAACAATCTGTGTTGTTGGTCTGTGTCAACTTGAAAAGAGACAAAGGATTCCTGTAGCACTTTTGAAACTAACTAGAAAGCAGCTTGTAGCACAAGCTTTTGTCAGTTCAGACAACCTCATCAGCTGCATGGAATGAAGCTTCTATGGATATGCATTTACAGGCAATCCTCAAGTTGCAAACATCTGTCTTACCTAAGACTCCTAGTTGCAAACAGGTGTGAGACTACAGGAAGTGAGTGGAAATCTACCCCTAGGAAGAGAAATTCACTCCTGGAAGAGTTATCATTTAGAAAAAGGTGTCTCCACTGACACTTTCTCAACAATCCTTGTTTCCAGGACAAACCAAATATCTCAAAATCCAGTTGTCAAAGGGACAAAAAGTGAGGTGAAGCTTTAGCTGACAGCAAAACAGACATTACAGGGGTGTTAACCCTCTCCTAAGCTATCCAAAACTTTAAAATACACTTAAAATGCACATGCTCCAACTTAGGACCTCAAGCAGAGGGAACCAACTTATTCCATATCCTTCTATCTTTCCCCATCTTCTGGCATGACCAGCCATCCTGTGCGCTTGCTGTGCCTTTCCCCAACTTTCCCTTGCTTTCTCCCACAATCTGCAGCTTATAGTCCTGAAGATGGCTGCTAGGCTCCATGTCCATGTGCTTAGGAAATGGAAACCTGCAGAGTCCCACCAGAAGTACCCTCCATGGGACTCCCATGGGGCTATTTCCTAAGTACCTGGAAACAGCCTGAAGACTTTACATGCAAATTCAGATTAAGAACAAACATACAAAACATATCATGTTCATAACTCAGGGACTGCCCATATACTGATGGATGGTAGGCAGAGGCGGCCCTAGGTAATTTTCAACAGTAAGCAAACAGTATTTTGGTGCCCCCCCCCCCCCCCGCATCACTGCTATATATTTTCTGTTCATTGTGGGAGTTCTGTGTGCCATATTTGGTTCAATTCCATCATTGGTGGAGTTCAGAATGCTCTTTGATTGTAGGTGAACTATACATCTCAGTAACTACAACTTGCATATGTCAAGGTCTATTTTCCCCCAAGAGTGCCTCAAGAGCACTCCTGGGCAAAATCAACTATACTCTGCACATGCTTACTTTGCGTAATGGGTTGAGCCACCCCTGATGGTAGGGGAGGTATTTGAATAGTAATGAAATTGCTATGGTGAGTATATGGCTATGGCACTATAGAGACAAGTTGAGTTTCTGATCATTAAAAGTTCAGGAAACCCCTGCATGTCTTATGAGTTAAGGACTGGGCCACTGTCAGAAAATGGGATTGATTGAAAAGTGGCAACCATTTATTTTTAGCTTTTAAATCTAAGACTAAACACTACAAGGTGTCAAGTTAACTGGTAGAAAAAAACCTATGCACCAAAGAAGCATCAGCAATGGTCAAAAGAGCAGATTAGGGGTTGAGAATAAGGAAATGGCTATAACTTAGATCTGTCGAAACAGAGGAGTGTCCAAAGCAAGTTGTCAAAAACAGGAGATGCTTGTAGTCAGAGGACAAAGGTGGAAGGCAGGATCTACTTCAAACCAAATATTTAAAATGTGAGTGTTAGGCATGGGCCCCAAATCACATGATGGTCTTTCGGGCAGCTCACGTGTAAAGGGGGATAAAGTGTAAAGGAAACCTATGCCAACTCACAGCACCTGGCTAAAGGTTGTACGCTGAGTGGCAATCAGGTCCCTAGTAAGCCATATACATCGTATAGCTTGCTCTACCCATCCTGATCTTTGGATTATGAGGAATTTATTGAAAAGGGGCTTCTATTTTCAAAAACCACAAAAAACATCACCATCAGTTAAACACAAAGCTTGGAAAAATAATTTCTTAGACTATTAACTTTTAGAATCCTCCAGCCCTTGGATAAGAGATTATTGGAATAGTATTCCCACCAAAAAAGCTAAGACTGAATATGATGCAATGAAGACAGAAATGGGCAACTATTGTTTTGATAGGGATGTAATTCTTTGCTAAATTTCTTCTCAAAAGAAACAATTGATTTTATTATGACAATTTTATTCCTATTGTGAGAAATTGACATCCACAGTTTCCAAAGGCTATTCACAATTATTCTGCACAAAATTTGTATATGCTTGATTTACATAGAAAACAAAGTGTGGGGGATGCATGCTTGTAACAAGTAACCTAAATTGTTGTTGGGAAAAGGGAGAAAGAAAGCTGGACCCAGGTATCACTTTTCCTTCTTGTCCTTCTAGGTAACTACTGTTGGCAGACATACATTGCTCATACTTCTAATTTTCCCCATTTATTGTAAAATGCACACTAATTTCAGTATTACCAATAGAAAAAAGATAGATAGATGGATAGATATATAGACAGATAGACAGACAGACAGACAGACAGATAGAGTACCTATAATGCTAAGATGCATCCCATTTTTAGAGATGTTTTAATGGAGGAGAGAATATAATACAATAATCTCCACAGGTTGCTTCTTCTGCACTGGATACAGAGGGATCCTAGGGTTTGGGTTTTTCTCTTTTGGCTGATTGTGTGCCACGGTGATGCAGGTGACTTAGGTGATCCCTAAAAGTCAGGATGGATTTCTCAAAAACAAGTCATGCCAGACGAATCTTTTCTCTTTTTTGTTACTTATAAGCTTGGTAGATGCAGGGAATGCTGTGGATGTAGCATATCTTGACTGTTATATAGAAATGAAGGGCCTAGAAAACTCTTATAACTTCTGTTTATTCTTATTTCTTTCATACGTAGGCATTGCTGAAGCTGCCATTAGCCATGAATCCAGAAATGGTTTTCCTGTGTTTCTTTGTATGCATTGTCACTGTTGGCTGTGATCGGGTGTATGTCCACCCCTTCTACCTGTTTTCCTTCAACAACACAAAAGGCCACAATTGCAAAGAGCTAGAAGTCAGAGAACAGCTGATGAAGACTTTCATTCCCATCTCAATTGAGTCTCACCTCATGTCAGAATCTGAAGAGAGTCTAAGGAACCGAAGCGAGGAAGAAAAAAAACGTTTAGGAGTGAAGTTCTTGAGGGATCCCATTCATACAGTTGGAGCCCGCTTCTACCAAAAGTTGAGGGAAATCTACCAAGAAGATAATATTTTACTTTCTCCCATTTATATATACGAGTCTTTGTTGGCTTTCTACTTAGGGGCCTCTGGAACCACAGCTAACTATCTGCAGACATTGTTGGAATTCAGCTCTCCTTCCATTGACCCAAACTGCACCTTCAAAATCGATGGGTACAAAGTCCTTACGGCTCTGAGGTTCATAATCAATTGCCCCTTCCATTCAAAGGATACAGATGGATTAATCTTCTCCAGGGTTTCCTGTCTTTTCTCAGCCCCTGACATTCGTCTGTCAGAGTCCTTTGTCCACCAGTTGGCCTTTTCTGATGCTAACTTTCATGTGAGAGCAGTCGATTTTTCAAACCCTGCTCAGGCAGCCAAATACATTGGAGCCTTCGTGGAAGACAAAAGCACACCAAGAAGCAAGAGTTTGCTTTCAGATATTGATCCAGAAACCACCCTGCTGTTTGCAACCTACACTCAGTTCAGAGGTAATTGGGCAATAGGATGGAGAGAGAGTCTATTTTAAGGGTGGTAGAGGCTCCTTCTTTGGAAGCTTTTAAACAGAGGCTGAATGACCATCTGTCGGAGGTGCTTTGAATGCGGTTTTCCTGTTTCTTGACAAGGGGTTGAACTGAATGGCCCACAAGGTCTCTTCCAACTCTATCAGTCTAGGGCCACCTTCCAATGTGTGTTTATAAATCTGTATCTGCATTCTCTAGGATGCGATTTATGCATTTGATAGTTGTCTGGTGTTTGTCCAGTTTGGTGACCCCATCCCTAGGTAGATGGTAATTCCAACTAGGGATAGAAAGGATACTTTACAATTCATTGCCCTGCAAAATAATGGATTTCCCTTTGGGACTACAAACCTCAGAATCCCACAGACAGAATGCAATCACTAGCATCGAAATATTTCCAAAATAGTATAGGAAATAATCTAAGTAGGGACCAGAAAAGCTCCTTGTTTGAACCAAAAGATAACTTTTCTGGGGAACAGCTACCATAACAGGATTCCTGACTTTCAGAGAACCCATTAGAGATTCTTATAATATCCACTGTGATTTCAAAGATTAGTTGTGGAGGAAGTGGCTTCTAAATAATCCAAATTGGATTAGGGAATTGGGGGAGATCCTTCACTCTTGTTGTGGCCATTGTAAAAACTGAGATGTGATCATTTCAAGTTTTCCTTTCAGCTCTCATGCTATGGTTTACAATGCAGAAGAGATAGGTGAGGCTTCACTTGCATTTGGCTTGATGCCATTTTTAAAAAGTTCTGGCTCCTCTCCAGAGGTTGTAAACCACTTACAATTTGTTAAGTTTGTTAAATCCAAAGTGAAAGCCAAAATTCATTTAAGTTGTGTTTAGCACCAAACTGGCCTTTTAATCTATTGATTGTTCCAGCTGTTAGCAATTTCTACTTGAATTGTTTTATGGAATTATGATTTGATGGTCCTTTGTCTTCACACTAAAAACTTTGCCAAAATCTGCAAATCTTTAGAAAGCAATGATATAGGTGGTGATGTACCAGTCCAATTCTGGAGTGACCTACACACTCAATCTCCAGTTGGGCTCCTCTGGGAAAGGATGGAAGAAAACAGTGTTTCTGTATTCCCCTTTGTTTTTTAAAAGCATTTTCTCCCATTTTCTATTAAGCAACAAAATAAAACAAATTTAAAATAGCTTCAGGGCTGGTCTGACTTTTCTACTTGGTTTATGCAAAGATCAATTGCTGGGAAGGCTTTAGACTGTATGAATCTGAGCCTCCTCTTTCCCCACTACTAGAGGTCCAATGTGGGACATGTTGTAAAGTTCTTATTGTAAAAGTAACTATCCTTTTGCATGGATGGGAAGACAGATCTAAGATTGGTTTTCTGTTTCTGATCTTCAAGGGGTTTCCTGCTGTCAGCTTTGTGACCCAGCAGGAGTCCTAAGTCTAGCATTCTTTAACTATGTATTGTCGAAGGCTTTCATGGCTGGAATCACTGGTTGTTGTAGGTTTTTTCAGGCTATATGGCCATGTTCTAGAGGCATTCTCTCCTGGCGTTTTGCCTGCATCTATGGCAAGCATCCTCAGACCTCATGACCTCTGAGGATGCTTGCCATAGCTGCAGGCGAAATGTCAGGACAGAATGCCTCTAGAACATGGCCATATAGCCCGAAAAAACCTACTACAAACCATTCTTTAACTGTTAAGCTGTACTGATGCTCTCATGTCAGTGCTTGCTGTAAACATGGATGCTATAGAAACAGCATACCAATACATGTCATTCATTTGTATAATATTTAAATGTGCAAAATGTATTTCTTTTGCACATTCTACAGATGTGCATAATATGGAACTAATTGCTACCCGGATTTGGAAAAATGGAACGCAGCAATCCTACTTTTAATTAGAGACATTGATTTTGATCGCTAAAATGTCAGTTATAAGCGGGCTGTTCTTATTCTTTGCCTCAGCTCTCGGTGGCGCAGTGGGTTAAACTGCTAAGCTGCTGAACTTGTTAACTAAAAGGTTGCAGGTTTGAATCCGGGAAGTGGGCTAAGCTCCCACTGTTAGACCCAGCTTCTGCCAACCTAGCAGTTCAAAAACATGCAAATGTGAGTAGATCGATAGGTACTGCTTGGGAGGGAAGGTAACAGTGCTTCATGCAGTCATGCTGGCCACATGACCTTGGAGGTGTCTACGGACAATTCAGGCTCTTTGGCTTAGAAATGGAGATGAGCACCAGAATCAGACTTAATGTCAGGGAAACCTTTACCTTTACTATTCTTTGTCTGCTACTGGTCTTTTTTGCATTTGTTCATACTTATTCTGTATTTTATATTTCTGTTTCAAAACTGTGTCATTGCTAGCCACCTTGATCTCTGCTAAGAAAATCAGCAGATTAGTATTTCAAATGCATGTCATATATTTAGATGCTGGCAAGTTGCTTCATATGCTAACCAAATGAACTTGGTCAAACCATTAAACTTACAACTCCTGCATTTTTTCTCTCCAAGCTATTTTAAAGGGAGCCACCCTGTTGAAGGAGCCACAAGACTTCTGGCTGAATTCGGACACAGCGGTCTCTGTCCCTATGATGAGAATTACTGGAACCTTTGAACATAAATGTGATGGTGACCCCAGGCTTTCTGTGGTCAGGATTCCTGTCAGCAAGAGTATATTTCTGCTGCTTTTGCAACCGGTCAACAGCAGTGACCTGGGCAAAGTTGAAAAGCAATATTCCTTGACACCATCTGTAACCTGGATGCAAAAACTATCAGCAAGGTACACTTTATTTATTTATTTATCATTACAGATCATATGTATGGAACTATCTCTGTAGAAATCCATTTGGATTGACAGTATCTAATTGGAGGCATCTGGGTTTGTTTGTTTTTTAGGTAATAGATAGTGGGAGACAGTTTTACAACATAAACTATGGCATTTCGGTTCAGGCATTAATAATGGATACATTATTCATCACTGCCACAATATAATAATCTCATGAAACCTTACTTACTTACTTAGACGATCCCTCATAGCCCAAGGATGATGATCCTCCAAGTATAGTGTCTTGGTGGTGGGTTTGTAGGTGACTGTAGAGTCCTATTCTTGATCCGCATGGTCTCCCACAGTGAGGACATCATTTTCCAGGTGGAAGGCGGTCCCAGTCAGGGTTGGTTTGATGCACCTTCCTCTTGGCATGTTCCTCCCTTTTGCCCTCCATTCATGCCTCTTCGAATTCTGCAGCACAGCTGGTCACAGCTGACCTCCAGTTAGAGCACTCAAGGGCCAGGGCTTCCCAGTTTTGGGTGTCTATGCCACAGTTTTTAAGGTTGGCTTTAAGCCCATCTTTAAATCCCTTTTCCTGTCCACCAACATTACATTTCCCATTCTTGAGTTGGGAGTATAGTAACTGCTTTGGGAGATGGTGATTGGACATTCTAATGAAACCAATGTCATGATCGAGGGAGAGTTGTAGTGAAACCTGAGATCCCAAAGCTTTGGGACTTAGCAGGGATAATGAGACTATCTGTCAACCATCCTTTCCCAGTGTTTCCAGAGCCATCTGAGCTTAGCTGCAATCCTCACAGCAGCGAAAATAAATATTTGACCAGAGATAATCAAACAAGACAATATGATTTTGCCATCATCTTGCTTAAATAACACAGGATGCACTTCCCATGGGATGTGATTGTGTTGAACAGCATATCACACATAGAGAATTGGCACAGGGTTATTGTGCAAGGTTGATTGTTGAGGCATGTATCTTGAGGAAATCTCATTGTGGTAGGATAATGTGTTAATGCTTGGGAATATTCATTTCTTTTAATGTCTAATTTGACTAACGGGAGCATTTGCAAGGTAGTACTGTCCTTAGGCGGTATGTTTTGAATAGTTATCTTAAGTAGAAGGAAGATGTTATATTTCACTAAGAATAACTTAAAAAGTCCATCCCACAAAAATCATGTGCTTGATCTTGCTACTCATTTTGCTGGTGTATGTGTGCTTGCTTAACTATTTATGTTGTAATTTTTTATTGTTCAGTTTTTGAATTTTGTATCCTGTAAACTTGTAACTATATTTTAATTGCTTGTTAGCAGCTGTGAGTTCTGAATTGGGAAAAAGACAGAATAGAAATGAAATACAATATAAAAATACACCTCATGGTATTTAATTGATGCTACTCTCCATCAATGAAAATCAACAACAATCAGATTACTTCTAGACTATGTCATGTGTGGAACTGTGCTTTCCTGCCTTTCTATATTAAAAGAGTAGTCATGAAAAATGACAATAAGATGGAGTGGATTGGGGCAAAAGGGAAAAGGGGAGCACCTGAGGTGGAGGCTGTAATAACATTTTGAAAGACACACAGGTATGACTACAAGTTGAACAACACTGGATAAAAAAATACCCAAAGCACATAGAAAAGCTATTTGCCACCAAGATAATTGCTACATATTTTTCTTCGGGCAACCAAGAGGAATGGCTGCATCCTCAGTAGATGCTTCCTAAAGAGTAGATGAGCACCTGTTTTCTTGTCCCCGGTGGCACAGTGGGTTAAACCGTTGAGCTGCTGAACTTGTTGACCAAAAGGTCACAGATTCGAATCTGTAAACAGCGTGAGCACCCGCTGTCAGTCTCAGCTTATGCCAACCTAGTAATTCGAAAATATGCAAATGTGAGTAGATAAATAGGTACCACTCTGGCGGGAAGATAACGAGGCTCCATGTAGTCATGCTGGCCACATGACCTTGGAGGTGTCTACAGACAATGCCAGCTCTTCGGCTTAGAAATGAGGATGAGCACCAACCCCCAGAGTTGAGCAGGGAAAATCCTTTACCTTTTACCTTTTTTTGTTGCCAATCCTCACCTTTCAGGTTAAGGATTGGCACTGAAGGCTCATCCAAAACTCCAAGGAAGCCCAAAGTTCTTCTAGACCTAGGACTCTCAGCATTACTAAATCAAAAGATATATGAAGCTATTCCATTTCCTCTTCCTTTGCAGATTTTTTGGGGCACATAAAAAACGTGTGAAAACAGTGTGTTGCTAATGGAGGATAGGGAAACATTTACAACATTGTGTGAATGAGAAAGGGCTGGGCAACTCCATGATTAAAAACTTCATGATATGGAAGCGCTCCTGGAATCAACGTGATGTAGTTTATTTACAAGCAACCATTCCTAATGATTTCTTTCTTCTTGCATCTTCTTCAGACAAATCCAGCTGACTTTGCCACAGATATCTTTGAAAACTATTTATAATCTTCAGGAACTTCTTGTAAAGCAGAATATGGGTGATCTGCTTGGAAAGAATGCCACTTTCAGACTACTAAGCAACACTGATATGACAATTGGCAAGGTACAATTTGTACACAGTAGCACACTATTTCTTAATCTTTCTCTTTCCTAGCTGTGCACACATTCTTTCTTCCTGGGCACTGCAATTTAAGAGAGATAATTGACAAGCTGGAATGTATCCAGAGGAGGGTGACTAAAATCATCAAGGGTCTGGAGAACAAGCCCTATGAGGAGCTTCTTAAAGAGCTGGGCATGTTTAGCCTGAAGAAGAGAAGGCTGAGAGGAGACATGATGGCCATGTATAAATATATGAGGGGAAATCATAGGGAAGAGGGAGCAGTCTTGTTTTCTGCTGCCCTGGAGACTAGGACGCAGGAGCAAGGACTTCAAACTACAAGAAAGGAGATTCCACCTGAACATGAGGAAGAACTTCCTAACTGTGAGAGCTGTTCAGCAGTGGAACTCTCTGCCCTGGAGTCTGGCGGGGGCTTCTTTGGAGGATTTTAAACAGAGGCTGGATGGCCATCTGTGAGGGGTGCTTTGAATGTGATTTGCCTGCTTTTTGGCAGGGGGTTGGACTGGATGGCCCACGAGGTCTCTTCCAGCTCTATGATTCTATGTAAACTAGAATAAGGAGACCAAGTTAAATGTTGCAAACTATAATGTCTGCAGTGTGAGAGATGAGCAGTTGAAGGATGCATCAGCAAGATGGGGAATGCGTGAACAAACCTTACAAGGAGATATGTAGGGGTTAGATGAATCATAACACTATGGAAATAACAACATTAATGAAAAAAGCAGTTTCAAAAAAGAAAAAATAGCAAGGTTGCTGTAAGTTTTTCAGGCAGTATGGCCAGGTTTCAGAAGCATTCTCTCCTGATGTTTCACCTGCATCTATGGCAGGCATCCTCAGAGGTTGTGAGACCTCACAACCTCTGAGGATGCCTGCCATAGATGCAGTCGAAATGTCAGAAGAGAATGCTTCTGGAACATGGCCATACTGTCTGAAAAACTTATAGCAACCCAGTGATTCCGGCCAAGAAAGCCTTCAACAATACAAAAAAATAGCAACAAAAGACTGTGGTTTTCATTTCCCATCAGTCATTCTGGTCAAATTCACAGCCACTCCCATCCATGTTCCCTCCCTGCAATCTCTCCATTACACAGTTCGCAACAAATTTAGTCCATTTAGCTTATGCTCTTCTCCCAAAATGCTCAGAGCAGGATCCAACTTCATAGTAATATTATTTAGAATCACTGTATCTTTTTCATCTGCTTGAATTTTCCCTTCATTGTTGCTATATCATGACTTCTTGCCAGCCTCGAAACTATGGGTAACTGTATGCATCTTTGCTTGCAGGTAACAAATCAGCAACATTTTGAGCTGAGTCCCAGTGGAGCTGATGAAGCCGAAGCTCCCCCTGAAGAAAATGAAGCCACAGAGACCCTCAAAATGACCCTGGACAAGCCATTCCTCTTGGCAGTGTATGAAAAGGAGTCAGATGTATTGCTTTATTTTGGCAGAGTAATGAATCCTCTGAGAGGGACATAAAAGATCACAAAAAAGAAAAGAAAGAGGCATTCCTAGATTTCCTCTCCCCTGCCCTTGACTTAGCAAGTTTTTATGGTCTCAAGTTGTTATTATATATTGTGAAATGCAAATAGATATGGCTTTCAAATTTGAAAGTGATGAGAAGAATCAAGAAACTGGGTTGTTGTAAGTTTTTTGGGCTGTATGGCCATGTTCCAGAAGCATTCTCCCTAACGTTTTGCCTGCATCTGTGGCAGGCATCCTCAGAGGTTGTGAGGTTGTGAGATGCAGGCAAAACATCAGGAGAGAATGTTTCTGGAACATAGCCGTACGGCCCGAAAAACTCACAATAACCAAGTGATTCTGGCCATGAAAGTCTTTGAGAATTAAGAAAACTTAAAATCACCATGTTCCATTCAGTGGGTGTTGTAGGAATAGAGCTGTTTATGCCACCACCACTGGTCAACAATGGCACCACACAAAGAACTTCAAAGTATGCTTGACTTAGCCCACTGAATCTACAGTAGAATAAGTTGTGTACACATTATTTTTTATTATGACATAACATGTCAATTTCTGTATAACTGCTTGATAAAGAGAGCTCAAAAAGCTGGCAGTGTCATATGTAATGAAAACATTCTACCACACTTTGGCATCAGATCAGGGGAACGATGTGTTGTTCTTGCTACTTGTATCTGCAGTTTCGTTTATCCACATTCAACAAAATACACCCTCTCAAGGCATTTTCAAGGTTTTCCTATGCGAGTGTATTCTTGGACAGAAGCCCTTTATTTCAATAGAGTTTACTATTACTTGTAGTTTCTCTTATCATCACAAAGACCAAGGGTGGCACTTTACTTGACAATTTAACAGTATTAACTGATTTTCCTAATGGCCTAAGTAGGACTGACTCAAGTCATTTTGCCTTCTGTGGCTAAGGCTGGGATGGTGTCAGTTCCCTTTCAGTATAGAAAATAGGTGTACTTGACCTTTATGTTAATGTTGCAAACAGGATAGCATTCTCCACCAGAGGTGAGGAAAGCAGCTCTCTTGAGTTCAGAAACCTGGCTACATGGCATGCAATCTGCTCTGTCCAACAACAAAAGAGGAAAGAGGTGTCTCTGGAGCATATAGTGCCTGCCATGTAATGGTAGGGATGCTCTGCAACAAAGAAAACAGCTTGACGGGCTGTTGTCTGTATTCACTCTGCTTTACAATTTCAGCTTGACTCTAGTACAGGCATAGGCAAACTTTGGCCCTCCAGGTGTTTTGGACTTCAACTCCAACAATTCCTAATAGCTGGTAGGCTGGTAGGCTGGTAGGCTGTTAGAATTGTGGAAGTTGAAGTCCAAAACAACAGGAGGGCCTAAGTTTGCCTGCTATTGTTTATTCGTTCAGTCGCTTCCGACTCTTCGTGACCTCATGGACCAGCCCACGCCAGAGCTCCCTGTTGGCCGTCACCACCCACAGAGTCAAGTCAGTCACTTCAAGGATGACATCCATCCATCTTGCCCTTGGTCGCCCTCTTCCTTTTTCCTTCCATTTTCCTCAGCATCATTGTCTTCTCTAAGCTTTCCTGTCTTCTCATGATGTGGCCAAAGTACTTAATCTTTTCCTCTACTATCCTTCCCTGCAATGAGCAATCAGGCTTTATTTCCTGAAGTATAGACTTGAATCTTCTTGCAGTCCAAGGCACTCTCAGAATTTTTCTCCAATCCCACAGTTCAAAAACATCTATCTTCCTTCGCTCAGCCTTCCTTATGGTCCAGCTCTCACATCACTAGGTTACTATGGGGAATACCATTGCTTTAACTATGCAAATCTTTGGTGCCAGTGTGATGTCTCTACTCTTCACTATCTTATCGAGATTGGTCATTGCTCTCCTCCAAAGAAGTAAATGTCTTCTGATTTCCTGGCTGCAGTCTGCATCTGCAGTAATCTTTGCACCTAGAAATACAAAGTTTGCCTATGGCTGCTCTAGTAGGACAACTGTCTGCTAATGACATGGGGAATAAGAAGGGCCATTAAAATATAGAATTACTTAACCTTCTGGCTATTTCATGGGCCATGAAAACCCCCTTCTTAAACAGATAGACAGCAGTCAGACCCAGTACTTGTGAGGGGAAAATTGTTTGCACTCAGGCTCTGATAACACAGAAATTTAGCAGATTGCTGCTCTGGGCCCTCCACTGGGTGTTAAATAGAAACAAATAAGTAGATCTATTGCAAATTACCTGGTGCACTTCTTGAGCTCAGACTGAGAAGCAAAGACTTTTATCTTAATAAAAACAGCGTAGGATCAATTTATCCCAAATAAAACTATTTCTATGAAAGGGGAACGTACAGAAAAGGAGGTTTCTTTGACTTCTTTCACTATCCCCTTTTCTAATTTCCTGTCTGCTTATCAAGATTTAGCCTTTCCTGTAGACTCTATTTAATCTAATTGTATAATAAGCTTGGGGGGGGGGGTCTTACTTTTTATTATATTTGTCATAAATCCCTTCAATTCATACAAATACCATATTATGATTTATATTATAATACAAGAATAATTTGCACAGTGCATTTCACAAGCCATAGTCAAGAAAAATACATTATCAAGAAACATTGAACTGAAAAACTCCACGTAATTAACTATTTAAAGGGTGGTCGTTTTTAAAAAGTTGTTTTATGCTAATTGCACTATGTCATTTTAAAATAAGCAAGATGTATTTGTCAAAAAAATCTCTTCCTGATGGTCAGTAACAGCAACAATGACAAATCTTGAGAAATTAAGGGAATACGCTATTATTGTAAAATGATTGCATTTGAGAACAAAAGTCTGTATAACATTAAAGTCCTGAATTCATAATCACAGCCACAAGCGTGCAACCTCAGAGTTCTAAAAATTTGTATAAATGAGCCGGATGTATTCACAATTGTGGCAATAGTGTAGGACATTGTTTCTTAAAGTGTACGTCTGGCCCACGCCCATTCCTGCAGCTAGTCCCGCCTTCTATCCCAGGTGAGTGAGTGGCGTGATGACATCACGAGGAGTTCCCCCCTCCCTCTTCCACATTCTAACTGTCGGCTTCTTGAGGCTGTTTTCCAGGCGGAATCTCGAGGCGTGCCTAGGTGGCGACATGCGCTGAGCGTCTGGATTGAGCCCTCAATGGTAGGAGTTCGAATCCGGCTCAGGACGAAGCGGTCACTGGACGGTCCCCTCGGAATTTTTGTTTTTTATTGGATAATAAAAATAATGATGATTCCTTATACTTTTGTCTGTTGTTTCTTTTTTATGATGGCGCATAATGGCTTGAAAGTATGTTTTTTAGATTACCGATAGGAATATGACCCATGTCAAACCAATGTTGGTTTTATGTTGAATTTGATTGAATGGTGTTCTTTTTCAAATTAATTAAACATCCATGCTGCTCGTAGTTCCCTCTGCTTTCTCTGAGACCACCAATATTTCTGATGATTTCCATTTTGACCACCTTCTCAATTCATCACGTGCTTGCAATATTCACAACGTTCCTTTCTCCGTCGCCTTGTACAAAGGTGCTTCCATTCGTGTCACGTTGGGAATCCTGTTCCAAAATCACGGTGCCTTGGGAGCTGATCTTCACAGGAGCTGCCTGTCCTTTAGGAATAAGAACTGGATTGGAAATATGGATGGAAAGCACCGTTCTCCGATGTGGGTAGATCTTTTGGATGGTTTTTCTATTTGGATGGTTTTTCTAGGGAGGAGGTGAACCAAGGCTGAGAAAGAATGACCCCAGAAGGACCATCTTCTGGATTTTTCCCAAAATGGGAAGATTGTCTAAACATGAGGATAGATATCCACCTCAAATATGGTCAAGAAACATTTCCTGAATCAAAGACTTGCAGTTGTGCTGTGCTTTTGATTTATTAAAAAATATTGCCAGCAATATGGCCCTTTAATTAAGGAAGAATTCTGAAAAATATTTAAGAATCAGAGTATTGGTTCTATATTCTATATTTCATGTCAAATTACTAATAACGTTCTGGAATAGTGGAAGAGTACAATATAGTGATACATCCTGTGAATATTGTGTTTTGCTACGAAGGCCTGCGCTGACCTCTTCTTGCAACGGCCTGCCTGCCTGGCTTCCGGGACCAGGAGGTGCTGTACTTTGAATTGGCTTGTGCCGAATGAAGAGAGCAGGGGGTTGGACTAAATGAACTCCCTGCCAAATCTATCGTTATTAATAATAATATTAATAACAAGGCTGAATGGCCATCTATCGGAGGTGCTTTGACTGTGCTTTCCCTGCATGAAGGCAGAAGGAAGACAGTTGGACTACAGAGCCTTTACAGCTCCCTTCCAAAGCTGCTGCTGCTGCTTCTGCTGCTTCTTCTTCTTCTTCTTCTTCTTCTTCTTATTATTATTATTATTATTATTCTTATTCTTAAATTTAAGGCTGGTTGGCCGTATGTCAGGCGGCCCTGGGGGGGGGGGGGGGGGGGCTTGAGGGGCTTCAGCCCCCCCCCCCGAAATTCTCATGGTGGTTCGCAAAAAGGCCTTACTGGTGCATTATTTAAACTGTTATGTTTATTCATATCATGATCTGATCACCATACTCAATATATCCCATATGCATGGGGGTATTGGGGTAACGGTACAAAAGGTTTGCTAGGCTAGCCCCTCTTTCACTCAGACTCAGCCCCCCCCAAACTCACCCCCCCCGAAAAAAATTCAGCCCCCCCCCCCCGAACCGAATTCCTGGCTACGGGCCTGGTCCCGACCCCAAATAAGAGTCCTCTTAGTTCAATATTAGGGTTGCGTAATATCGGGCTACAGTAAAAGGTTTCTGAATGCCACCTAGACATTTTCCTTTTTGTGGGTTACAACTGAAGCATCTTTTGCAAACTCCACTGTAAACACTGCACAACAGATTTGCGTAAATGTTACAAGAGCCACTAGGTGAAGGGAAAAGTTTCACCTTGACATTAAGTCTAGTCATGTTTGACTCTGGGGGTGGTGCTCATCTCAGTTTCTAAGCTGAAGACCCAGCGTTGTCCGTAGATGCCTTGAAGGTCATGTGGCCGGCATGATTGCATGAAGCACCGGGTACCTATTGATCTACTCACATTTGCATGTTTTTGAACTGCTAGGCTGGCAGAAGCTGGGGCTAACAGTGGGAGCTCACTCTGCTTCCCGGATATGAACTGCCAACCTTTTGGCCAGTAAGTTCAGCAGCTCAGCGGTTTAACCCACCACCGCGGGCTCTCAATTTTTGTTAATTTTTTTGGAATCACAACACTGAGCTGAGGGGATTCCATTTGGGGTAATGACCCAGTTTGAGAACAGCACTATAAACAAATGTCTTGGCTAATGTTGTAGATTAGCTAATTATTTATGTATACATACCTAAGTAGCATCTCCCGGCCCAGCCCCTTCCACCTTGCCTTACCAGGCAATATTGCAAACGGTAGATCTCTTCTTCTGTCTATGGAATATAGCACACTGGTAGCAATTTGGTAACACAGGATTTAGGGGAGGAACGTTTGAAATCTCTACATATTCTCTAGAACAGAGTTTCTTAAACTTTTCCACTCACAACCCCTCTCAACCTGAGAAATTTTTACACAGTCCAGGTATATAGGT